AGGATTGTGCGGTCAGTTCAACGAGTATCTATAGAAGAGAGACAACTCCCCAATCTTTCTAGACTCTCAAGGTTGCACGTCATGTTCGCGTCTTCAATCAGGCGAATGGCCCTTTTCTGGATAGAATTTAGCAATTTCAGATTGTGTTTGTGGGCAGAGCTCCATACATGAGATCAATACTCCAGAGAAGGTCTAATCTGAGCTTTATAAAGCATCAAAAGTTGCTGAGGTGTGTACAGTTTTCTGGTTCTGAACAGTGTTCCAAGCAGCCTTTGCAATTCCAGCGACATGATTGTGCCAAGACATATTTCAACCCCCAACAAACTTATCGAAGCAGAAAGCGGAATTGTCTTACCTGATATTATTATATCCGGTTCGGTGACATTTATCTTCTTGGAGAAAACCGATGCTTGGGTTTTTGTAGCACTGAATTGAACCTGGTTACTTACACCCCAATTCGAAATCACTTCTAGATTCTCATTAAGATATGCAACGTCCTGCTGCCGAGGAAAATGTGCCTCCGTAGCTGATGTCCTGGAATCCAAATGGAATGACGAGACAAGTGTGCTGTCGTCAGCAAAGCAATATATTGGATCCTTGGTTTTTTCCAATGAGTCGTTCATATACAATAAAAAGAGGGTTGGAGACAATATGGATCCCTGGGGAACACCAGCGTTGGTGGTGCAAGTATTCGAGAGATATCCATCGACGGCTACTTGCTGGGAAGGTTTTCCCAGCAATTTTTTCCCTAAATTTTCTATTGTTGATCAAGCATCTTACAGTAAACTAGTTTTCATTTCTATCGATATATTTTTCTTCAATATTTCAAGTATATATTTTTTCCAGTCGCAAAGCTGCCATTGCCGCTAAACCTCTTCTCACAAAAAAAGCCTACGGTATGCAGTTCGGAGCCGATTATCTGGAAACCCACTTCATAGAAAAACTCAATATAAAATACAAAAACCTGCTGAGGACCTTCGGTAGTGAGGACAGCTTTTTCCCTAAGGGTTTCGAATATGGTTTGCATTCAAAATCGGGAGAGCTTAAATACGATCACGTTCATATTCAGGCCATGCTCACCAGCATCAAACAGCTCATTCGTGTAGGAAGGGAACAGACTTCGAAATACCAAGAAATGAAAAGAAAACAAGAGGAAAGGGCTGAAGAACAACACCAGTATCCTTGGTCCAGTCAGAACATCGCTGGCTTGCTGAATATGAAGCCTGAAGTACGTGAACAACTCGAAGGTGTTGTGTACTCCAAAGAAATGGGATCCGTTTTCAGGATGCTATCGTTTGACAACAGCACCGTAGAAAAAATTCCAGAACGTAAGTGATTTTATTCATACCTCTGGTTTATCCATTGAACTTCACAAAAATCTTCATACTGTAGATGCAAACATACTGAAGAAGCAAATATTCCGAATCATGTAGCAGTACTGCTGATATTTTCAACGTCACATAACTAACCACTGGTTGAAATTGGTTTTGCTGTCAGCTTTGTGTTTTCTTGCCCTCTACAGGCTTTGCTTCTACAAGGCTGTAGTTTCGCCCTCCCCATGCCCCCTCCCGGGTTGAGAGCTCTGAGTTGAAATCTTCCCCACACGGTTACTGTGTGCAGGACATTCCATCACTTCAGCAAGATTGACATCTGACCTTCTTTGATCAAAAGTCAGCCTCCTCTAGGTGCTTTTTCTTTCTGGTCTAATGTATTATTTTATCTTGTCTTTCCTAACTGAATTTTTGCATGGGGTCCCCAAAAACTAACCGGAGACTATTGTTTTGAGTATTTCTCGTTGAACCTGAAAAGTAAATGTTTCTTATCTGTTAGAGCCACCTGACAGCGACTCTTGGTGGTGGTCGTTGGTTCTGCTTGGTTGACCTTCTCTGTTTATCTCTCTCTCGGAATCTGGGGTCATCCCTGTCCCACCTGTAGATTTCACATCAAGTTGACCCGCTGCTATGACCAATTTCACGTTGGTCCAATTTCCTTTTGCAATAGAAATCCAATTCCAAAATGATCTCCATGATCGCCGTCAAAAGTTTGTGTAATGAATCACTTGAAGCTCAGCTGCTAGTGATTCACTCTTTCACAAATAGTGATTTTTTCACAGCTGAAAGTATACAATATCCTTTTAACCAGTATTTTTGGAACAAAACGCCGAAACACGTCAGTTGATTTCACGTTGTACGCATTTTTTGGCAATAAAATGAAATTTTTTTCAACCCCTTAGCTGCAACCCTCCCCAACTTTTTTTTTTCAAATGCAAACCTATGTCGTGTATGGGCTCATTGAAAAGCTCGTAAAAAATGGATTCTGACCATACCCTTATTTTTTTTTTGGTTATTACGAAATGATAATTTTGAAAAGTAACAAATACCTAACTTAGTACTATCTATGGGTGAATTAACGTAACAGATGCTGAAATTGGCCTCCACACTCTACTTGGAAGGCTCCTAGGCGATGGTATAACCTGTCTACGGAATTCCGAATAGCCTCAGCCGGTATGTTATGTGATTCCACTCTAATTCTGCTTTTTAGAGCTTCAATATTAGCCGGCCTTTTTTGATAAACCTTGTCTTTCATATATCCGCAATAAAAATAATCTAATGGCGTTAATTCTGGGGATTTTGGCGGCCATTCAATTGTTTCACGTCGTCTAATCCAGCGTCCTGCAAATATGTCATCGATATATTCTCTGACATTAATACCAAAATGTGATGGAGTGCCGTCCTGTTGGAACTAAAGTGTTTCAGTGAGGATATCTGGATCTGCTTCATTGGGAAACATAACAGCTAAAGCAGAGACTAATTCAAAGCGTAAAAAGTCTGAGCAGCGTGCAGCTGTAAGGTTTCCCTCAAAAAAGTATGGCCCTGATATTCTGTTGTTGTAGATGCCTGCCCATACATTTACTTTCTGAGGACGCTGCGTACGAGCTTCGCATATCCAGTGTGGGTTTTCCTGACTCCAGAATCGATAGTTGTGCCTGTTAACTACTCCATGTAAATAAAAAGTAGCTTCGCCTGAAAAGAGTATGTTGAGTGGAAATCCATTATTCTCGTCACATCGCCTCATTATTTCCTCACAAAATCGCAAACGCCTGTCATAGTCATCTTCCAAGAGCTCTTGGACAAGACATACCTTTTATGGGTAGTATTTTTCTGTTTTCAAAAACCTCCCAATCGTACGATTAGACGCAGGATTGTTTTGGGCTAATGAAACCGTTGACAAATGTGAATCTTCCTGCAGAGATACGGCAATGTCCAATTTTTGATCTTCGTCTAAAACATGTGGCCGGCCACTTCTAGGCAAGTCCTTCACTATACCGTGTTCTTCAAATTTGTGTAAGATCTTACTCACAGTAGCCTGGGAAATGTGATTTTCCGGATATTTCGCATTAAATAAAGTACACACCTCACTTTGATTCCGCATTCTATCCCCACATCCCAACAAAATCAAGACTTCGATACGCTGCCTCTTTGACAATACCATTTTTGTTTAGCAAATTAAAAAAGAACACTTTGAAGGTACCCAATTAATAAACTGAACTTACATACAATTTCAATTTCACCCAGAAATGCCACAATTTTAAAACTGAGTCAAGACTATATTTCTTATCAGGGCATTCATTTTGATACAAAAAATGCAACAACCTTTTTGTCTTTTCGAGGTACACTGGTCAACAATTGCTTGGGATGGAACTACTTTTATGTGTAAGTTTTTGGTGAAAAAATAAAATCCACAGAATGTTGATGCTACATTATGTTATCAGTTTTACACATAAATCAATAAACTTTGTTGTGGTGCCTAGCCCGATTGATCTGTTCTTAAAATTTGTAAACTTTAAGAAAGTAGGTACTGGTGATCCTTAGCAATTGTTGAACAATGTACATCATTACCACTTATTTGTTTTTTGTAACGTTAATTTACCCGTAGATAGCACTAAGTAGGTATTTCTAACTTTTTTGGTTTTAAAAGAGTTTTTTCTCATTTCGTGGTAATCGCATGAGTAAAAAAAATAAAGGTTATGGTCAGATTCCATTTTTTACGAGCTTTTCAATGAGCCAATACACGACATAGGTTTACATTTGAAAAAAAGTTGGGGAAGGTTGCAGCTAAAGGGTTGAAAAAATATTTCATTTTATTGCCAAAAAATGCGTACCTTGTGAAGTCAACTGACGTGTTTCAGCGTTTTTTTCCTAAAATACTGGTTAAAAAGATATTAATTTTATTCTAGACTTTTGCGCACCGCTGTATAATGACCTGTATCGAATTTTGGGATCAATTCTGGAATAAATCGAGAAAGCGGACTGATCTATAAAGTTTCAAATTTCATCCATCTACTTCATTCTCAAACACATGAGAACTTCCAAACAAAACAACAAATTCACACATGTTTCCAGCAACCGAAGTAATCTTCAATGAACCCCCTCACCATCATAATTGTTCTCTATTTCAGTGATCCGAAAGGTCGAAGAAGAGCTGGAAAAGGGAAAAAAATTCAACTACCTCCGACTCACCAACAGAGGAGACATGGCACTATCCTTCCCCACAGAAATGGGTCTCCCCTTCCATTTCACTTACGATGTCCCCACGATCATCCAATCCAAAGGCAAAGTACAAGCCGAAGCGTCTCCCAAATTCTCGAAGGAAGGCAAGATAAACCTCCCGGACAACGTGAATATCAATTTCGATATTTACTTCGCATACACGTCTAAGGTCCAAGGTATAATTTCGTTCACCACTCCCTTCGATCACCAGCAATACTCGTCAGGATTTGAAAAACACTGGCAGGTACACTTCCTACTGAAGTCCCGCATAGATATCGACGTGAAGAATCAGAAGGCGGAAATTAACATTGAAGAGGTGTTGCCACGAAGACAGATACAAATGTTCCACTACAGTGTCTTGCCATACACCTGCAAGAACGACATCATGAATTTCGATCACTCGCAGGCTAACACCCACATCTTAGTACCACCAAGACTCAACAGGTTCGACGAGATCCAACTGAAAAAGCAAACTGGATATGCTATCAGGTGGATGATGGACCATGAAATTCAAAATGTTGATAGCATAAATCTTGGAAAGCTTCTCGTAAAGGAAGGTCCCTTCATCGCCCTTCTGGGTCTGTGGGATGACGCCAATGTTCAGTACGGCAGACGAAACGTCACCTACTATCCAGAAGAATCGACCACTGAGAGGTTGCAGATCAAGCTGGGATACAAACAGCAGTACTTCGAAAAACTAGAACACTTCCGTAACATGAACAAAGACAACATGATCGAAGAGGTTAGTGCTGGCATCAACAACGTCAAAGTCGACTCTGTGAACATATCATTCCATTTCCACGGCGAAAAGAACATCAAGTATGATATCAGTGGGGCTTTTGCCAAGAGCAACGTCCATCCCCAGTCGCGTCTGGCGGTTAGTTACACCAGGTCTGGAGATAGCGAGGAGGCGAAGCCTTACGAAGCTAGGTTAAAAGCTGAAAGCCTTATTCCCAATACAGGAGCAATCGACTTGAACGATGCTTTGGAGACCGACCCAGCAATAGTTTCCAACCTGAAGCTGAGTTTCGGAGCACCAGATGAGGAGGTTTCCAAAATCGAAACTGAATTTTACTTCCGTAGATCTGAGGAACGAAAACACTACTTGAAACAGCTTTCCATGTACAGGCGATGCAAAGACGAAATGAGAGACGGAAACAAACAACTACCTACATGCGTCAATATGACCATGGAGGCCAACCTCCTCGATCACGTTAAGGTTCATGTGAACCACCAGAATTTGCCGCGAAGCATGACCAATGTGTTTGAAACTATCTTCAGCTATATTAAAGTCAGGTCTTTGTTGACTAAGAGTGAATTTGAACCTGTTGAGAAGCATTCGTCCCCCAAGCAGCTGATCATGGAAGCACGGTTCCACCCGGACTTGCGATTTGTCAATATTAGTGTGGAGTCTAAGAACGAAAGGTCTCTCATTCCCGACCTCCCTGTAGGATATATGACTAGACGTGTATTCGTAGCGCATCCAGTATTCCATTTGAAGAATAGAGTCATGAGTGGATTACTTGCATTGAAGACGTTCAGACGTAAGTAAATATTTAGAGTTAAAATTCTGATTGAGAAATGTTTCTATCTGAGAGAAAGTCCTTTGCAAGAATATGCAACAATTAACTGAACTAGTAAATAGTTTGTCACATTCAAAGAAAAGATAGGTTATTTTCAAATCCAGGAATTTCCTCAACTATTGAGGTTCACAAGCCACTATTAATATTACGTTGAAAATCATCAATCAACATTATAAAGAAATTCAAGGTATCTTTCAAACACTTAAAGCTTCTACTATCCATTCAGTGGAGAACCCAAAAAATGTCTGTGCAATGAAAACCTAAGCTGCAGACATTGCAGCAAAGAGGAAAAGACAGCTTGTATTTTATGGAATATGAGTATCTAGAGTTCAAATTCCAAGCAATTTTAGGACAAAGGCTCTGTACAAATACAGAGGAGAAAAAAGTGTTGAACCCAAATTCCAAGCAATTTTAGGACAAAGGCTCTGTACAAATACAGAGGAGAAAAAAGTGTTGAACCAAAAAAACCGAAGAAACTGCTCTGTACAAATACAGAGGAGAAAAAAGTGTTGAACCCAAGAAAACCCAAGAAACTGTTCTTTGATTTTTTTTTATTAGAATGGGTATGTCAGATAGCTTCCAAACGACAAAAAACAGCTCACAAAATAAAAATCTTTGAATAACCAATGTGCATCAGAAACCAATTTGGGGATATCGTGTTATTTTCAATAGTTCTGAACTAAATAGTTCATTTATTGTAATTTTATCACAATTACTGTACTAAAACTTGCTATGTAATATTCTACAAGCTAACCTACCCCACTGGGATCTCAAATTACTAGACTGTCGCTTCCCAATACGTTCCCAAAGAAGCACATCAGAATCCGCCAGAATACGTAGAGGAACCCTACGGGGCAGGCACATGTGCTCTGCTGTTTCATCATTTTTCAAACAAAGGCAACACACACTGTCTTCCGACAGTCTGAGTCTCTACATATGATGGTTCAAATGACAGTGACCTGTTAGATATCGTAGCTCATCCCTACTGTAGCCCAAAAATTGTTTGGTATCAAGCTTCGAAGGCTGAGCCAATCCTGGGAGATTCTGCCAGAAGTTCATGAATCTTCTTGCCATCCAGGTGTTCAGTGTTTGTTTGGCAAAGCCTAAAGTGATGCCAATGCCAGGTTCTGGTCCGATGAAGCTGCTTGCAGCACCCTCCTTTGCAAAGGAGTCAATAGTCTCATTGCTTTCCAGCTAGAAGGCCTTACTCGAAGTACATAGGATTTATAGGTCTGGCAGCATAGGTTTTTTTCCTATCGCTACAGCTGAATACCCCCAACGGTATACTTTTAAGTCAAACTGGACTCAAACTACTTTCCCAAGTAGCAATAATAGTTCTGCAGAAATTTAACTTGAGAATTAAAATATTATCGATATAAGGAAGCCAATACCTGATAATACAATAACTGATCTTGTTTTTTTTTCAGCCTTCTGCGCTGTTGATAAAACCTATGTTGGCGATCATCTCAATTACACGTATCCTGCTGATATCTCCAAACACTGGACCGTCATGTTCCAATACGTTCCTAGGGAAGCGACTCACAACCCACAAGAATACGTAGAGGAGCAACTTGCATCTGAAATCGAAAACTGTGTTGTCCTGGTCCGCAAAAATCCCGAATCCGAAAATAAAAAGGATGTGAAAGTTGTCATGAGCTTCCCAGAAACTGATTTCAAGCCAGTCGACATCACAATGACACCCAAGCCACAGGTGACCTCGGGACCAAAAGCAACAGTCACAGTGAACGGCGTCGAAATCGAGATCAGTGAAGACAAGAGTCACGATATTGAAGATGGCTTCATCCAGATCTACGCCCTACCCGGAGGAGAAGTCAAAATGGAAGTGAATGGATACTTCTACGTGATTTACGATGGGGAGCGTATCAGAGCAAGTGGAACCAACGGCTATGGGAGAAATGACGTCCGAGGATTGTGCGGTCAGTTCAACGACCAAATCTACGAAAATAAGTTCACTCCACAGAATTGTATTACGCTCGACTCCCAAAAGTTCGTGCTGGGCTATGAAGTTGAAGGTCCCAAAGGTCAGGCTATCAGGAAGCTGTTTGCTAAAGATCCCAAGCAGTGCATCCGAAAAGAAAATCCTGTATACGTAGAGGTTATTCCAAAATCCATCTGGAAGAATGAGTATTCTAGTGAGGAGTCCCAATTCTCGCAGACGAAGTACGTTTACGAAGACGGCAAGATCTGCTTCACGATAAAACCGGTGGTGTCTTGCAGACGGGGACACCAGGCGCAGGGGTACATCACCAAGAGCGTACCAGTTCACTGCGTGGCCAAGAGCAATGTTGCTCAGTTGTGGAAGACGCAAATCGACAAGGGGTCCAGTCCAGACTTCAGCCACAAGGAGGAGAACAAGCGGGTTCAAATGCAGATACCACAGAGTTGTTCCAAGTGATATTATAGCATTCAATCTTCATGAAGGTTTACGAGTATCCTGAAAATGTAAAAAATAATGTTTCAAAGGAAATTAATTATAATTATGAATATATTTGGTGTGTTGTTACTCACTTTCCATAATTGGTTGATATAGCTAACACAAACGGGTTCGATGCAGATACCAAGAATCAAAACTAGGGATTCAAACATCTTCATGACTTTAATTTTTCCTTCTCCACATATGGTCTGAAAAGTCCCGGAGCTAAGAAAGAAAACGCGCTTTTTTTTGATTCAAAATGTGCTTTATTTGCCTCTTTTGCCTCAAAATGGGCCTCAGTTTCAGCAATAACCTCTCCTTCAGTATTTTTTGAGGTCTGCGAACAGACAGGAGTCGCTGGGTGCCAAATCTGGCAAATGCGATGGATGTGGGAGGAATTCGAAGTTCAATTCATGTAGTTTTGCCATGTACAATAAAATGAGGGTTGGAGAGAATATGGATCCCTGAGGAACACCAGCGTTGATGGTAGATAGTTGTAGTTATTTTCTGTTTTATTCTCTCATCAAATGCTTATCAAATTCAAATTGTTTTTATAATAATATACACTTTGAAAACATCAGCGAACAGTACGTAGATTAAAAAATAAGTTCACTTCCTGTCCTAATAAGATACCATTCTTTTTGATAAAAGATTGCATCGGTGTATTGGTCTATTTCTTACTGACACTTTTCAATCTTGCAGTTAAAAATAATAATTTTCCTGAATTATAGAAGATATCACGAGTTTGCCCCATTTTTAAGTCTGGAGATCTATCTGATATTCGGAATTATCCTCTTATCTCAATTCTATCGAACATTGCAAAACTTCTCGAAATTGTCATCTACAATCGCGTACAATCCTCAGTTCGTAATGTCATATCTCCGCAACAACATGGATTTATGTCAAACAGATCCATCATAACAAATTTATCTGTATTGACTCAAAATGTTAGTGATGTCTTAGATAATCTTGGTCAAGTTGATGTGATATATAATGATTTTGCTAAAGCATTTGATCGACTGGATCACATGATCCTTCTAGAAAAACTCCACAAATTTGGTTTCTATAATTTAGCAGTACTTTTTATTGAATTCTACTTACTTCAAAGCAAACAGTTTATATCTTATAACGGCTATGATTCTTTTTATGACTATTCTTTATCTGGAGTACCTCAGGGGTCGAATCTCGGACCACTTCTGTTCTTATTATTTATTAATGACCTCAGTTTTTATGTGGATTGTAATAAGTTATATTTTGAAGATGATTTAAAAATATATTTACCTGTCGAAATTATCGAAGACGGTAATACATGGCAACGACAGTTAGAAAATATACAGACTTGGTGTGAAGTAAACAAACTATATCTCAATGCATCCAAATGTAAAGTAGTGTCTTATAGTAGTAGGAGTGATAGGAGTATCTCTA